GGGGCCAGAGATGAGTAAGGAAAATGTGGGTCCCCCTCGTCCTGATGCTATAAGAAAAAAAGGAACACCTTTTTGGAAAATTCTTCAATATTCCTGTCGGGTTCTGGAACACGCAGACCCCACTCATCGTATCAGAGTCCCCGATGCAGATGGGCTATAGAATTTTTGGGCAAGGCAAAATGAAAATGCAGTGTCTCTTATTGAAAAATTATTAGGAATTTAGGAACTTCAAGATGTTGACAACACAGCATTAAGCTGAGTTCAGGTCCTATGGGACACCATGAGCCCCACACCAGACACCCTTTCTCCTGGGAAGCCGCCTGTGTCTGAGCCTGATCTAGTATTCAGGCATTTGGGGATCAAACACTCCCATTTTAGCAGACCCCAGGCTTGGCTGGCAGGGGCAGAGCTGGACAAGAGAGACGCCCCCCACCCCAGCCCAGTGGGGTCAGGGCTGGGCCTTTCAGCAGGCAGAGAAGCCCAGAATTGTGTCCCAGACCATGAATAAAAATCGACCAACCAAACTGTATATGTTTTTACTATGTGCCATGCTGGGCTTTAAGGATTTTAGCCTTAGGTATTATGACCATTTGAAAGATGGGGAAATTAAGGCACCATGAGGTGAAGTGACCTGGCCAAAGTTACACAGCTGGAAGGTGGCAGGGCCAGGATGTAAAATCAGGTTCTTGGGCCTTTAACCACTATGTGACACAGCCCCTCCAGGTAGGCCATGAAGGCAGCATGGGGGGGTAGGTCGGAGAGGGCCAGGAGCCTTGAGGAAGCAGGACCCTGCCTTCTGGACTGCGACATTGGCATTTTATGTGGAGGGCACTAGGGAGCCATGGGAGGTTTTAGAGCAGAGTTTCTCAGTCAGCCTCTGTACTCCTGACATTCTGGCCTAGATCATTCTCTGTGAGGGCCCATCCTGGGCACTGTGGGGTGTTGAGCCGCATCTCGGGCCCCCACTCGCTCCGTGCCAGGAGCACCTCCCTGCCCAGTCTTGATGAGTGTCCCTGGGGGCCAGATCGTCCCCAGCTGAGAAGCCCTGGCTTAGAGCAGCATACAGGGTCTGCCAGGTAAAAGGCTCTGCTGGTTGCCGGAATGGAGGAAGGCAAGGTGGGAGGCCGGGAGACGGGGTGGGGTGCTCACACTACAGTTCAGGAGAGGGGTAGGCCGGTCTGGGCCACCGCATGGAGGAGCGGTGGGTGAGGGAAAGGCGGGGAGGATGCCACAGCCTGGGACGGAACGGTCTTGACTAGATAGTTAATATGCGGGATTGGGGCTTTCGAGGATCTTACCATCGGGCAGCACCCCTGTACATCCCTCAGCTCCCACCCATCCCCGACTCTGGGCCCGCATCCTGGTGTTTCCCCTTCCCCGGGGTTCTCAGGGCCATATCTGGGAGCAAGGCAGGGCAGGGATCTGTCTCATGGATCCAACCGTCTGAGACCAGCCTCGCAGCCTGCTTACAAATGAGCGCTGGGCCCCACGGCCTCCGGGGCAGAGCCAGGCACTGGCTGGTGCATGATGGATGGGCTGCAGGGCCATTAATCACAGGCGGGGGAGGAAACAGGTGGCCACCGGCGGCTTGGCTGGGGACCTCCCTCTGGTAGGCCCAGTGGAGCTGGGGCCTCAGCTGTCCAGCTCTGGGTTTGAGCCTCTGGCCTGCCACAGCCTGGCTGGGTGACTTGGGGGCAGTGTGACATTCCCACCCTGCACCTCGTCCCCCCTACCCGCCCCCAACTGGAGCTCTTCCTCCTTCCTTCCCTCAGTAAGTATCGACTGCACCTACTCTGTGCCGAGGAGGATTCTAAGTGGAGGTTTAGGGAGCTAAGGAGGATGAAAATCCCTCCTCTTGCAGAGCTAACAGGCTTTAAAAACTTGACTCAAGTCCTGTCTGTCCTCTGCCCGCAGCCCTCCAGGGCTCCCACCTCCCTGGAGTAAAGGCCCGAATCCTCCCCGAGGCCCCCAAGGCCCTGCTTGAACTTCGAAGTCTCTCTCCCTCGCTCACTCTGCTCCAGCCAATCGGGCCTTCTTGCTGTTCCTCCAACACACCAGGCCCGGACCCGTCCCAGGGCCTTTGCATGGGATACTTCCTCTGCTCTGATAGGCATCCCCAAATGCCATTTTGGCTAATTCTTTCCTTTCCTTCCAGGCTTGGCTTAAAGGTCACCTTCTCAATGAGACCTCGTTGTGACTTCCTTGCTTCATTCTGGCAGGGCTGGGACTAGGATAAGTGCAGTTTTGAGTGAGGCACTTTCTTCAGGCATAGAGTTTAAGGGGGTACCAAGAATCTCCGATAACACGAGACACACTGTTTTAGTGCAAACTGTTTTTCTTAATTGCGGTAAAATACACGTAAAATTCACCATTAGAGACATTTAATCCATTCACCATGTTGTGCAATGATCATTTCTACCTAGTTCCAGCACATTCTGTCACCCCCAAAAGAAACCCCATCCCTATCAGGGTCACTCCGCGTCTTCCCTGCCCGCAGCCCTGGGCCCCCACGAGCCCCCTTCCCGTCCGTGGATGAGCCTGTTCTGGACATGTCACCCAGGTGGACTCACACACCACGTGGCCTTCTGTGTCTGGTTCCCTCCCTGAGCGTCGTGGGCTCGGGGTCCGTCCCCGGGGCCGTGCGTGTGGGCGCCTCACTCCTGTTCCTGGCGAAGAGACGCTCCCGTCGGTGGTGGACCGTGTGTGTGTGTATCTGTTCATCTGTTGGTGTTTCCACTTCGGGGCCCCCGTGAATCCTGCTGCTGTGAACATTTGTCTATGTCTTTATGTGGATGAATAATTTCATTTCTCTCGGATATACATGCAGAAGTGGAATTGCTGGGTCACCATGGTAATTCTGCTTCATTTGTGAGGAACTGCTAACCTGTTTCCCGCAGCGGGGCCCTGTCTCACATCCTATCCCACCCCCCAGCAGGGCAGGCGGGTTTCGATTTCTCCACGTCTTTGCCAAAGCTTGCTGTTGTCCTCTTTTTTTTTTTTAATTTTTAAAAAGATTTTATTTATTTATTTGACACAGAGAGAGAGAGAGCACAAGCAGGGGGAGTGGGAGAGGGAGACTCCCCGCTGAGCAGGGAGCCGGATGCAGGGCTTGATCCCAGGACCCTGAGATCATGATCCGAGCAGAAGGTAGATGCTTCACCGACTGAGCCACCCAGGTGCCCCCCCAAAATTTCGAAGTTTTAAATGATAACAGGATCCAATCCTGCACTCACCACCCACTTCACCTGCTTCCCGCCTCCCCAGGCCTGTCCTCCCCAAACCAGTAAGAGCTCCACCTTCCCTCCCCTAGACTCATCAGACAGATGAAGGGTGTTAGGGGTTGATTTTGTGGGTTCTCTCTGCCACTGGAATGTCAGCTCCAAGAGGCAGGGATTTTGGTCTGTGTGGGCCACGGCCATATCCCCAGCACCCAGGGTGAGGCCTGGCTCACCCTAAGGGGCTGGAGGAGTGGCGAATGGGTGAATGAACACAGGACAGAACGAATGAATGGGTGCACCACCCGGAAAAGCACTTTGCACATGTGGCTGGCACGGGACACCTGGGTTCAAGGTGGGTGGCCCGTGGCGTCCGGTTGGCCAGGGTGCATCACGTGACATGCCCTGACATTGGCATTCTCAGTGAGGCCTTCTCTGACCGGTTTGGTGGCAGGACAAAAAACACCATCATCCAAGTCGTTCCTCATTATGTCTCCCTGTTTTATTATTATTTGAAGATTCAGATATGACTCTGAAAAAACCACGTTGAGCTATGGCCTTGTTTATTCACTGTCCCCCCATCATAGTAAAATGATCCAGGAGAGCCTGTCTTGTGTCCTGGGCGCCCCAGCATGCAGCGGGGATCTGGCCAGAGTAGCCCAGGGATTTCTGCGATGAATGGATGACACACTGATTATTTCGCCCATATTCCAGATGAGGACACTGAGGCTCAGGGGGAACGAGGATGGATTCTATTATTTTTTCTTTAAAGATTTTTATTTATTTATTCATGAGAGACAGAGGGAGAGAGAGAGAGGCAGAGGGAGAGGGAGAAGCAAGCTCCCCGCTGAGCGGGGAGCCCGGTGCAGGACTCAATCCCAGGACCCCGGGATCATGATCTGAGCCGAAGATAGACACTTCACCGACTGAGCCACCCAGGCGCCCCGTTAATGTTAATTAAGTAACAAAAGCAGGTATACTGTTAAGATCCTTGAGTGACCCCACTGGGTCCAGCTTTACAAATATACCCAGAATCTAGTTGTCCCTGAATCTGTCCCCCCTGGGTCATAGGATATGTGTTCCACTCTCTGAGCAAGCTCAGCTTGTCGTTCCCCGGCCCTGTTTCTGGTCTAGGCCCTCTCTCCCCGAGCCTGCTTCCCTTCAGTGGAGAATGGTATTTGGGAACCAAGAACGGGGTGCCGGGTACGCTCAGACTTCGGGGATTTGCTGTTTCCGGAACCCTCCAGTGAGCAGGGCTGAGCAATACCCACACCCACTCCCATTCACGCCTTGTCATTTAAATCTATAGCCTACCTATCAATCTATCAATCATCTATTGATCTTATCAGTTATCCATCACGTGGTTATGTATCATCTCTCCCGCCATCATCCACTTACCATGTTATCTATTACCTACTGGTCGTCCGTCTGTCTCTCAGCTGTCTGTCTTAGGAACTGAGAGTTCCCGCTGATCGCTCCAATCCTATTGCACGGCCCCAGGATTATTTCTTCCCTCTTTCCATAGTTTAACCCCTTCTCCAGCAGGGGAACCAGGCTCAGAGGGAGAGTTTTGAACACAGAGATGAGGTGGTCTCCCTCCCTAGATCCCCTCATATGTTTTATTACTTTCTTTTCTTTTTACAAAATAACTATGATTTTGCTGTGAGATTCTCATGGATGGAAAACTAAATTGAATATTTATTCTGTCCATTTCATTATACCATGTATTGCAATTGCCTATTTAGTGAAAAATAAAGAAACCTATAATTTTTGGCTTAAATTTTTTTAAATGTGGAACATTTCATGAATTTGTGTGACATTCTTATGCAGGGGCCATGCTAATCTTCTCTGTGTCATTCCAATGTTAGCGTGTGTGCTGCCGAAGAGAGCACCCTAATGTACCTTCAGTGAGACCCAAAGTTCCCCCTGCGGTCCCCAAGGCCCCTCATCCCCTGCCTGGTCCCCTCCCTGTCCTCCCCCCCACCTTGCTCACTCTGCTCCAGCCACAAGGACCCCTTCCTTCAACACACCAGGCCCGGTGCTGCCCCAGGGCCTTTGCACGGGCTATGCCTGCTGCCTGGGAGGCTCTTCCTCTCGAAATCACCTGGCCCATCCCTCACTTTCTCACACAGGCCATCTTGGGCCTCCCTAATATAGCCCAACATCCATTCACTCCCCTACTCTGTTTTTCTTTATAAGAACATCTCTGTCTTTACATTTTCCTGTATGTGTTTATTGTCTCCACCAGAAGGTCAGCTCCACAAGGCAGGGATTGAGGCTTTTTTGTTCCCTGCACAGAGCTTGTCACACAGGAGGTGCTCAGTACATCTTGCTTGATATGAAGGTCATCTTTCTTAGGATGAGGCCTGGCGCAGCAAGGCAGGCTGAGTCTTGGTCAGCCCGGGCCTTCCGCCGTAACAAAGCGCTGCGGCTGGGCCGCTTATAAACCATAAACCCTGATTTCTCACTGTTCTGAGCCCGGAAAGTCCAGCACCCAGGTGCCGGCGGCAGATGAGGTGGCCGAGAACTCTGTCCCTGGCTCGCGGCGGCGGCTCCGGCTGTGTGCTCACGGGCCTCTCCTCCTCCGCGTGTGCACGTGGGCAGGGCTGGCCTCCCTCGCAAGGCCAAGGCCACCGGTGCTTTCAGATCAGGGCCGCACCCGGTGCCCTCACTTTGCTTAATCACCTCCGACAAGCCCCACCTCCAAATGCAACCACACTGGGGGGCTTGGAGGGGGGGGGCACAATCGCCCCGTAGCATCGTCCTCCTTAGCCCCGCTCTTTCAGCCCCCGGGGCAGCTGGAAAAGGCCTGACCAGGGCCGAGCCTTGCGCGAGCAGCATGTGCGGGGCCCTGGGGCCGCAGGGAGGGCGACGGCAGCCTGGCGCGCAGGCGCGGGAGGCGGGCGTGTGTCTGATTGGGGCTCTAGGCTGCGTGGCGGTAGGTCCCAACTGGGGAGATTCTGCCTGCAGGGGACGTTTGGCAACATCTGGGGACCTCTGTGGTTGTCACACTGGGACAGGGCTCCTAGTATGGAGGGGGTAGGGCCAGAGACGCCGCTCAGCCCCCCACTGCCCGGGACGCCCCCAGAGAGTGACCCTGTCCAGCGTCAGTGTGGCGGCGCTGGGGTGGGGGTTCTTGCTGCTTGAGAGCCAAATGGCAACTTTAGAGAAGGAGGCGGGGAGCTTCTTTCCAGGAGGGTTTATAACAATGGAACTGACCTTGGCTGGGGGCCGGGCGGTTGGTGGGGAGGGCTTCCCCCCAGAGTGAATGATGTGGGGGTTACCTAGGCGACAAGTGATGGGTTGGAGGAGACAGCTCGTGCCAAGGCCCAGGGGCAGCGGGAGGGGCTGGAGGGGAGGCGTTGGGGAGAGGAGGGGACAGGCCACCCAGGTGCTTGGACGCTGTGTTCACTGGGAGGCTGCTGGAGGGCCATGGAAGGTTTTCAGGTATCACGAGAGGGCAACACGGTCCCGTTTGGCTTTCGAAACCTCCCTCTGGCAGCTTCCAGGAGAGCAGGATGCGGGGTGGCACCAGGACCTCTGTGGGTCCCTTCCTCCACGGAAAGCATTAAAGGTGGTGTTTCATGGCGGCATTGGTGTACAGACAGATATAATCCAGGGCGGATGTGTGATGATATAGTCGTGATTATTGTATTCATCATTTGCTCTGATTCTGGAGGAAATGAACACATTTTCATGGGCGCCTAAACCATCACGAGCCCCGGCACTGCCTAGTGGACATGCTGGGCCGGCAGCAATAGCCCCTGGAGAGCAGAGGGGAGCTAGTTCTGGCAGGGGGTCGGGAGGGGGCGTTGATGGAGATTCAGGGTGGGCAGTGCTGGGGGGCACTGATGGAGCTGCCAAGAGGCGGGGTGGCAGGGACGAATGGCAGAGCCAGCGCCGAAACGAGCCGGCCTGGGTGGCTCCATCCGCGGATCATCCCACTGTTAATCTCAGCTCGGGTCTTGGTCTCAGGGTCGTGAGTTCAAGCCCTGCGTTGGGCTCCACGCTGGGTGTGGAGCCGACTTAAAAAAAAAAAAAGTCAAGGAAGGGAAAATTAGACACACAAGACTTCACAGAAATTAAAAACTTCTGTGCATCAGAGGAGCCATCAAGGGAATGAAAAGACAACTCACAGGATGGAGAACATTGTTGCAAATCCTGGTATGAGTCCATTGTCTGAAATATATAAACAACAACACAAAATAAACCACCCAATGGTGGTTTATTGCCACCATGGAACACCATTGCCATTGCAAGAATGCGCAAAGGACCTGAACAGACATTTCTGCAGAGATGACATACAGATGGCCAGATGTCCCTGAAAAGACGCTCCACATCACTGGCCATCCGGGAATGCATTGAAACCTCAGTGAGACACCACTCCCCGCCCCCAGGATGGTTAATAGAAGAAACCTGAAAACACCCAGTGTTGCTGAGGATGCGGAGAAGTTGGAGCCTTGGTGCTTGGCTTGGTCGGGGGGGGGGGGGGGGGGCTGGGGAAGACAGTCCCGTGGTTCCTTAAAAAGTTAAGCATGGAGGGCGCCTGGGTGGCTCAGATGGTTGAGCGTCTGCCTTCGGCTCGGGTCATGATTCCAGGGTCCCGGGATCGAGTCCTGCATCGGGCTCCCCGCTCAGCAGGGAGCCTGCTTCTCCCTCTGCCTCTCTCTCTGTCTCTGATAAATAAGTAAAACCTTTAAAAAAAACAAAAATCACCCTCCGACCCAGTGAGTCCACCCCTGGATAAGGACCCAAAAGAATTGAAAGCAGGAATTCTGCAGATACTAATATACCTATGTTGGCAGCAGAATTATTTACAATAGCTTGAAGTAGAAACAAATATCCACAAATAGATGACTGGATAAACAAAAATGTACCATTTCAACCATTTTTTTAAAGTAATCTCTACACTCAAGGTGGGGCTGAAACTCCCAACCCTGAGATCAAGAGTCCCATGTTCTATTCACTGAGCCAGCCAGGTACCCCTCAACTGTCTCTAAGCACACAGCCCAGCGGCATGAAGCACACTCACCCTGTCCTGCGACCACCCCCACCCTCCAGAACTTTCCATCTCCCCACACGGAGACTCTGTCCCCATGAAGCACGGACTCCCCACCCCCTGCCCCAGCCCCGGCTCCCACCCTCTCCTCTCTGTCTCTGTGGACGGGACTCCTCTGGGGACGTCCTGGGAGTGGGGTCCTGCGGGATGTGTCCTTCGGGGTCTGGCTCCTGAGCCCAGTGTCCTCGGGGTCCATTCACTCTGGTTGTTAGTACATTCACTGAGTTGTGCAACTCACTACTATCTAATTCCAGAACATTCCATCACCTGCAAGGAATCCCTTTCCCCAGAGTAGTCCCTCCCCATACCCCCCATCCCCCGGCCCCCACGAGCCCCCTTCCCGTCCGTGGATGAGCCTGTTCTGGACGTGTCACCCACGTGGACTCACACCCCGTGTGGCCTTCCGTGTCTGGTCCCCTCCCTGAGTGTCGTGGGCTCGGGGTCCGTCACTGGGGCCGCGCGTGTGGGTGCCTCACTCCTGCTGGTGGCCGAGGAACGCTCCCATGCATGGTGGACATGCTGTGTGTGTCCCTTTATCCGTCGATGGACACTTGGGGTCTTTCCACTTGGAGGCTGTTGTGGATCCTGCTGCTGTGAACACGGTGAGCAGGGGTTTTTTTTGTGGACACGGGTTCTTGTTTCTCTTGGGTGGACACCCAGGAGTGAGACCGCTGGGTCAGAGGGATACCCCACGTTTTACGTTTTTTGAGAAACCGCCCGACTGCCTTCCAGAGCGGCCGCCCCCTCGCGCTCCCCCCGCCCTGGGGGGGCTCCGAGGTCCCCTGTCCTCACCAGGCAGTGTTAGCCCCAAGCAGTGCTCCCGGCCCTTGCGTGCTCTGCCTGCCACTGTGAGGGCCGGGAGGGACAGACAGACAGCATTCATGACGATAGGGTGGCGTGACGATAGGGTCTCCCACGGGCCGGGAGCCGCTCTGGTCTTCTCCTTCGTGTCTTAATTCACTTACTAGTAACCCATTTTGCATATGCGGGCAGTAGAGGCTCAGGGAGAGTGCGGCCGGCTGGTGGTCACCCCGCCAGGTTGGGGGCAAGCAGGGGGGCCCCAAGCCTCTAGGCCGGCTGCCACCAGCCGGGCTGCACTTGACAATGACTGGGCTCTGTTTTTGTGCTTCCCCCTTTCCCTGGAGCTTCAGGCTGCGCCCTTGGGATCCAGGCATTGGCAGGGCCGGGAGCTGCTGTTGGGGTGCTTAAGGGCCTTTAAAAGGTGTTCCCAGCATTTCCCTGGGGCCGTGGGGTAATTAGGCACAGCGATTAGGAGGCTGCTGCCAGGGGGCTGGTCTCTGGGGACATATGGGGACATTTGGGGACTGCGGGGAACAGGTGGCCGCCCACCTGCCCTGCCCTCCAGAGGTCCTCGCCGCCTCCCCGAAGACACCCAAGGGCCAAGTGTCAGCTGCAGCTTTGTGACTGGTGGGCTGTGTGGCTCTGGATAAGCGTCTGTCCCTCTCTGGGCGTCTTTCTCATCCATCTAGTGGATGAGAAGATAGTGCATCTCCCGCAGGACCCAGGGCCCCAGTCCTGGCTCCCCGGTGCCCAGATGCCACCCGCCTGCCCCCTAACCCCATAAACACCCTCTCTATCGTAAGTGGCCGTGGCCCATCAAGCTCACTCACATCCCCAGCGTTGTTCCAAGCGCTCGAGGTGGGCACGGTTTTCTCTCCCATCTTACAGCTGAGGAGACCAAGACCCAGAGGCCCAGAGAATTTGAGCCACGGGCCCCAGAGCACACGGCTTGTGAATAGAAGAGCCAGGATTTGAACCTCAGCCGCCATGCTGGTCCCACCAGCCAGCGATCCCTACGGAATGTGGTCAGAG